CTGTGATTCAGTTATTCCCTCTGCGCCTCCTCACCAGAGTGGTCGAACTGCTTTCATCTTCCATCCAGACGATCTTCCCGGGACCGCTTCATTACCTGGCCATGCAATGGACACTCGTATGACCACTGGGTACTGGTCTCCGCAGAGGTGCAGACGGAACTTCGCTGGTGGCTCCTTCACATGAAAGCTGCTGGCTCCTTCACATGAAAGCTGGTGGCTCCTTCACATGAAAGCTGCTGGCTCCTTCACATGAAAGCTGGTGGCTCCTTCACATGGAAGCCTGGAACGGCAGGGCCATCTTTGGATTGACTCTGAATTTCATCATGGAATCAGATGCCAGCCTCTGGGGCTGAGGAGCCCACTGCACACAAGCCTCCACAGGAGGCCTGTGGTCGGAGCAGAAGATGTATCTCCATTTCAACTGCTGGGAACTGATCGCAGGATCTTTTACGATCCGCAGTCTGGCCAAGAACATGTCCAATTGCTGCATACTCCTACACATGGACAATATCTCAGCGGTTCAATACATAAACTGCTTGGGCGGAGACCAATCGTGTGCCCTGACAGAGGGACATTTACCCTTTTTGTCTTTCCCGCAACATTACAATCAAAGCGAGTACCTACCAGGGATCAACAACCTTACTGCGGATTGGTTCTCTCGCCACAGCAGCAACTGACGGCAGACGCATCAGTATTTGCCATGGCGAGTGCGAACAGGGGACCGCTACAAATAGATCTTTTCGTGTCACTAACAAATACACACAACTGCCGAGGTACTACATCTGGCTCCCAGATCCACAGTGCGAGACGATAAATGCATTTCTACAACCATGGTTACTGCTAGGAGCATATGTGTTCCCACCATTTTCGATGTTGGCGAGGGTCCTCCATCGTCTTCAAGTAACCACTCATCACGCCATTGTGGAAGAGTCAAGTGTGGTTCTTGGACCTGTTGTCCCTAACTCAGGATCACCCATTACGCCTTCCATCGTTTCCCCTCCTTCTAACAAATCCGAAAGAGGGGCCTCATCCACTGATTCTACAAGAACATCTGGAGTTAGTGGCCTGGAGTACATCAGGGGAGCCTGGTCCGTCAAGGGCCTATCGCAATCGACTAGAGACCTACTATAGGACTCGTGGGAACCAGGTACTAGACGGAGCTACATATCAGCATGCAATACTTGGAATCGCTGATGTATGGAGAGGAACTACGATCCCTTTACAGCACCTATAACTGCAGTGCTAAATTTTTTATCACACGTTCTTTCTGCAGGTTGGTCATATCGTAAGGATCCTTTGAAATGTCGCTTATTGCGTGGTATCAAACTATTCAGACCCCCAGCTCCGAAGTATAATTGGTTGTGGGACGTAGACTTAGTTCTTCGTTTCCTTCGAGATTGGCCGGATAACTCGGATCTCTCCCTCCGACAGCTATCGGCTGAACTCACATTGCTTTTATGTCTGGTGTCCTTTCATCATGTTTTGGACGTTCGAGGTTTGGTGTGGATGGGTTTTCGATATCCCCAGACGGTGTTTCCTTTACAGTGTCTCGTAGAACCAAAACGGACCTCGCATCCGTGTCATATCTGTTCTTCCTGGCGTTTCCCCATCTTTGGGGGTAAATGCTTGACTTCGTTACGTGGAGGTTTCTACACCCCTTCGGTCTTCACGATCTGGCCAACTTTTGGTCTCTTATACCAAACCTTACAAACCAGTTACAATGACCACACTGGCTAGATGGGTACATTGGCTTTTATCCCTAGCAGGAGTGGAGACGTATTTTGGTGCTCTTGGTACAGGGTGCAACTGCTTCTCAGGCCTTCACGGCAGAGGCCACTTTGTCAGATATTCTACGTACGGCGAATTGGACTCGGGAATACACCTTCAGAGTCTTTTATTTCCGCCAGACCTCACACATGCCCTTTTCTTTTTTTGCCACAGTGTTAAAATTGCAAAATAGGAAGCCTCCTGTCAGGTAATAAAATTGTAGATTATGCTAACGTAGTGTACCTATAATCTTAGTTTTAATAATGACAGGAGGTGAGTATTTTCCCTCCCTATAACTCTTATGATATTTTATATACATTGCTTCGTTTTCTCATGTTACTACGATTTATACTGCTAATATACTTCTAAGTATTGTAATGATGGTTTTCCTGCTCAGGTTTCTTAAAGGTTAAAACCATTTAATGTTGCAGTTATGTAGTTTTAGGAGTTTCATATACGTTATATTATACATTTTTGAATATGGCTAAATTGAATTAGGATTTATATGTGGACAGCAGTTTGTTTCCAGCACCTTTCACTTGTTTCTGTTCTTTTCAGTGTAATAGTCATTTGTGGATTTGGAATTGGACGAGCTGGACTACTTCACGATTCACCTCGTTTTTGGTTATCCAAGTTATTCCAAGATCTTCGTTATGTTTCCTGATGTTTTCATAGACTGTTTTCGCATCAAAGAAAGAGGATGTGATATGCATGTCAGGGCGTTATATGGATGTGATGCTTGTTTCTGATTGGTTTAAAGTTTCATGATTGACTTGTGCTGCTGGAGGTATAAGTAAAGAAAGTTATGCAAAATAATCGCCTCCTGTCATTATTAAAGTTATAGATATACTAAGTTAGCATAATCTACAATTGCACTATATGTTATTGATATACATTCTGATTGGTTGATTTTTTTTTTTATCCACATTGTTAATGGCTTCTTTGCTGATGGGAGCTTTCAGTAAAGATATAAAGTCTCCTGTCTTGCCATAGAATTCCAATTCGGAATCTCCAACGCACCCCACTCAAATGTGTTTGACATCGCTATTTGTTTTGTTTTTTTATAAATACCGCTTACTTTTCTTTTCCTGGTATGTACTATACATTGCTCAAATGACCAGCTTGTGTGTTGGTGGTATCCTACTCTCTGTGTACACTGTATTTCTCATGCATTTAGCCTTTGTACCTTACATCTTTTGTATTTTGAAAGTGAGTAAATACAATAAATGTGGGGCTGGTGACATGACTACGCTTATGGAGAAGGGCATCAAAGGTTTTCAGGAAGAAGTGGCAGCCAAAAGCCCAAGGACTCACTACTACCACCACAAGTATCCATTTCCAGAAAGAAAAAAAAAAACTTAAAGCAGACCTGTAATTTGTTTTCCCCCTTCTTCAGCTTGTTTTCTTTTCCATATGCTCCCTTTATTTTAAAAGGGACATTATAGACAACAAAACAACTTTAGCTTAATGAAGCAGTTTTGGTGTATAGCTCATGTAGTCTCGCTGCTCAATTCTCTGCCATTTAAGAGTTAAATCACTTTTGCTTATGCAACCCTAGTCACACCTCAATGCAGGCAACTTACTAAACACTTCCTGTAAGAGATCTGTTTAAACTCTTTATTGCATGTTAATTTAAACTTGATCTTCCCCCCTGTAAATAGCTATGTAAACCCCACAGGAGCCTTCTTTATGTAATTAAAATTCAATTTACAGATCAGGAGATAAAAACTTCTAAAGTAAGTTAACATTAAAATTAAAGGATCACTATAGTGCCAGGAAAACATACTAGTTTTCCTGGCACTATAGTGCCCTAAGGGTCCCCCCAGCCTCAGGGTCCCCCTACCGCCCAGCTCTGGGGAGATGAGGGGAAAAAAAAAAAACTTACCTCTTTCTCCAGCATTGTGCAGGGAGCTCTCCTCCTCCATAGCGATGTCATCGGCTGAATGCGCAGCAGGAGCCACACGCGCATTCAGCCAGTCCATTTTTTTGGTAGGGATGTGTAGGTTCAGAAATTCAGGAAAGAACGAACAATAATTTGGCACTTCCTAACACCCACCCGTCTCCCCACCACACACTATATTTCAAAAGTAATAAAGATGTTTGATGGTATCAGAAATGAAGGGCATGGAGATATTTCCATTAGACAGCTACAATTTTTGCTAAGTACCATCTTTACAAGTAATGTGGGTGTAAACTAGCACGACAGGTTTAACTTAGTATCACAAGTGCAGTAATTGAAGAGGGATAAAGTAAAAGGTGTGTGGGTTGAAGTTTGTAGGAAAGTGTCTAATAGTTTGATTTAAAAAAAAGCCATCATAGGGACTAGCAGAGCTGTGAAGGATAAATGAGATGCAATGTGACCGTTGGAGCCTGAAAATGTGCAATTGTTGAGTCAGGAAATAAGTACATGATAAATTGCCTGAGTCAGATCCTGAGCTAGGAAGTTGCAGACCCAAATAACTAGTTTAAGGTAAATATGAAGGCAGGTGCCAAAAATTGTGATGAGGGAAACCAAATCCATTAAAAGATATTGTCAAACCAATCTTGGTAAGAGGGTTACTCCAAAGATAACTTCGAAAAGCCTACGGTATTATGATGCTCCTATCCAGATAGGTGACTCCCCCCTGCAGAAGCAGTTCCAGTTTCCATTCATTGACCGGGCATCAACTGACTGCTCTCAGCCAACAAATGTCAGTCTAGTTCCAGGTTGGCTAATGACACCCCCTGTTTCTGCTGACTGGAGTTACATATCCAGCAATGGGAGGGGATAGTGTTTGCCCTATGTGCAGTTTAAAAAAAAATAAAAAAAATAAACCCACACCAACACACTTAACATACAAACTCCAGGCACCATAACCACTGAGTCAGTGCTTGGAGGCACCACGTTAATGGGCATGCACAGGAATAGTTCAGTCACAATCAAAGAGAGGAAGTAATGGATTTCTGTGTTCACCTATTCTAGAGCATAGAGTAACAATTTAGGAGTTCAGTAAAGATCAAGTACTTTATACTCAAATGCCACTTACTTAGCTTCTCTCCAGCATGTCCCAATTATTATTCATTTAACACCATTCTAGTGAGAGGTGGTGTTTAGGGATTGTATTCAAGTCTGTTTTCACCAAGGATCATAAACTGCATATCATTACTGAGGAGAAACAGCACTCCCTAGAGGTCAAGGGAGACAGCTATCCCAGTTCTGCATTAGAAGCTGCAGACAAGTGATCATTTATAACAGATGGAATTGTTGCCGGTGTCAGGAGCAAATAAGGTACATCAGAAACCCTTTAACCCATGCTTACCCAGATAAAATACCCAACCACAAGAGATTCCAGGAACTCCATTCATTCTTTATTTGATAACACAAGTAACAAGACTAAGAATGCAGAATACTATAACGTTGTTAAAGGCTCCTCTTCATATTGCGTGTACCAATCAGTGCTTTGAGAAATATTCTTTGCTATCCTTCACGTTTGGTTTGATGGTGCTGCTCCCTGGCTTCCAGCCAGCAGGACACACTAAAAACAGAAGGAAAGTTTAGCAACTAGATCACTGAAGCAGCATTACATGGCATGGCCCTACCATTATACCCAGACATTAATATTGTGCAAAATAACAGCCCTTGGTAACTGGTGTCTTTATGGAAAGATCCAGATTCTTGGATAGACTAGTATTTTTTACCTCAGTCACAAGTTAATCTATGAGTTGGGGAAATTAGGCATGTTAGAAGAGAAGACAAGGAGTTTTGTGGAAGGGGACAGACGAGTGTCAAGAGAGATTGTGAAGAAACAAGAGTGTAAGGTAAAGTAGAGATAGGATACAGGACTACAGGTGTTAATGCATAGCATTGGGGGATTGGCCTTGGATGCACAAAGACACCTTTTCTAAACAAAAGGTGTCTTTGTGCATATAAAACAGAGAGGAGGATATACAGACACAAATACAGTAATTTAGTAAGAAATTGTGCCTTTAACCCCTTAAGGACCAAACTTCTAGAATAAAAGGGAATCATGTGTCCTTAATGGGTTAATGCAACATGACCCTTTATTTAGAATTGCAATCTTCCTTTACAGGGACATGTCCATCAGATATGTTGTAGAATTCTCTCACCGCTAATACTTCCAATTGGTATCCTTTGGAGAGAAATCCACTGTGTGTTGTGTATTAATAGTGAAGCCACTAAAGACTCCTCCAGAACACATTAAACATGGCATGCCTACCAGCATCAGAGTTCTAGCACCCAGTGAGCAGATATAGTAATCATATGTCAAACTGGCTGCAGCAGCACGAGATAGACCGCAGCATTAAAGGCCACTTACCTTCTCCGTGGGTGTCAGTGAACTGGAAAGCCTGTACCAGTCGGAGAGTCTCCTCCACAGACCGACCAACAGGCAGGTCGTTTATTGTGATCTGGCGGAGGATCCCTTTGGTATCGATAATAAAGAGACCCCTGAGAAGAAGTATCAGAATTAAAACAGATTCCCAATTGTTCATATGGACAGGCCATCTGAGAGGCAGAAAACATGAAACCAGAGTACAAAGCACCAGCTGTTTGGGTTTATGAGAGAGACTGCATATCTGACTAGAGCGAATTATGCAGGTAAACCAGACCCTTCCATTGTGGGTGGAAGGATTACAAAAAGTAAAAAGTCGCAACAGCAGATATTAAGTCACTAGAAGAATAGCAACGCAGTCACTAACTGAAAGATACACACCTGAAGGACACACCATCATCCTCTTTTAAGACCCCATAATCCTGAGCAATGGTATGTTTTAAGTCAGACAGCAGAGGGATATTCATAGGCCCCAGACCACCTTCCTTGCGGGGAACATTTGTCCTGAAAGACATTACAATATTTGATTGTATGGCAATGTCAATGTGGGCACAGAAATATCCAGCAATATCCAATTAGCATTGTCTCAGTTAAGGGTAAAAGTTGTGTTTTATTTGCAGAGTTTACATGCAGTATTTGCTTCGTTACGGTCTTATTTAAACTTCTCCAGAGACAATATAGACCATTATTGTTCCCAACTCAGTCCAAAGAATACAGTATTTAGGCATTTCACAAATCTGTATGTGGCGATTCTGACAAAACCTGGACAATTGTAGTGCACTTCAGAGGAGACTCACTTCCTAGGAGTTTTGTTCAGTTTGCTTATCAAATAAGCTTTTTGATGTTAAGAAAAATAAAATGCCCACAAAATAGTCAAATGTTTACAGAAATTAAGATCTATTCTGCAACTGGGCGCCTCCATCTTAGTTTCCTGTCATTGTAATGAGCTCTGTACTTTGCACGTAGTAGTCGTAAGCTAACAGAGGAGAAACTACAATTTATTCTCTTTTGCCCTGGCTGACTTGTAATGCAATGGGCAGATTGCAGAAGGATTGGCTAGCAGCAGTTGTAGTCACAAACCTTGTTGGATTATAGTATGGAACTCACATCAAACACAGCGTTCCATCAAAAGTTAAATACCACCCATTATAAGTGCTTCTCTATGGGAAGAAGCAAACGAACACTATAGGCATCCAGACCAGATCAATGAAGTGTCCTGGTCTGTTTAACCCTGTAATGGCAAACAGAACTGTTCAGCATGGATGGCGTTTTACAGTGTACTAGGACCCTGATGCTTTTCCTATGGATACACATTGGTCATAGATCATTCTTTATGATCTTAACCATGGAGGTGGGATGAACATGACAAATGCATTGTTTCTTTGAAATGGCAAGGCTTAAAAGAGACACTCCAGGCACCAAAACTTAAATCTAATTTAAATCAAGTTACTGTGCCAGGAGGAACTCTTACCTCAAGAGGTTAGCCATTTTTTGAGTAGTTAAACCCCCAAATTGCCTCCAACAGCGATGTCCACTCCGCCAGAGACACCCAGCTTCTGAATTATCAGATTCACAAAATGCTGCTGGGCAGGGGCACTGCTGATTGGCTGTGAGCGGTCAGATGATGCTCTCCATTTACTAGACTGGCTTGGAGGTTAGATAGTAATACACATTAGCTAATCTATTGAGAAAGGTTCATCTTGTCTATTGTCGTATACCATGGCAATGTTTCTACGAGAAACTCTGGTCAATGCGGTTTGGCATCACAAGATAGTTTGTTCATTTCACACCATAAAGAATGTAAAAAAAAAATAAAAAATAAAAACTTGGAAAAGAACATACATTTAAGCCAGTTTAGTGAATGGAGAGTCACTGATTGACCGAGACCATCTGACCGCCTGGCACCAACTTTCTTTTAGATGAAGTTGTCTTAATGCCTAGAATGTCCTTTCCCCAAACTCTGGCCCTCCAGGTGTTGAACTACAACTCACATGATTCTATGAATGATATAGATAGGTTGAGAATCATGGGGCTTAGAGTTCAACATCTGGAGGGCCAGAGTTTGGGGATGCCTGACCTAGAGACTAAGACCACTACATCAAGTAGTAGTGTTACCTAGAGTGTCCCTTTAATGATTAAACAAGAATTTCACCAAGATCGCATAGAGGTCAGATCATATTGAGGCAGATGCATTGTTTGCACCAGAAGGGGCAAGTTAGTTAATTTTATATCCAATCATAAATTTATACCTCATAGGCCCACCAATTAATCTTCTCTATAAAGACAGACATCTTGCACTCCTACAGTTATTCTCACCCAGTGCTTGAGCGCACAAATTAGTAGATAAAAACCCAAACACAAGTCAACTCATGGATTTTCAAAGTAAAACTTTATTGAAGCGTGTCAAATCAAAAGCGACGTTTCAGTTCAAAACATGAACTTTCCTCAGAGCAAAAATACCATAGCCAACCACCACCTACATATTGTACTGCCATTTAGCTACTCACCAGTGTGTGGGACTGGCATCAGTCAACGCCGGGAACGTGTGTGTCATCTGCCAAAAATTATTTCCTGATTAGCAGAGACGCCTGATAGGGAGTCTGCACCCGACCAGCTGTTTCACGTTCCCACAGTAACCAGGACGCAAGCAGCTGATCCTGCATGTGTGTGGGCGATCAATACCATAGTTTGTCATGGTATTTGTCTCGAAGTAAGTTTGTTTTGAACTGAAACACCGATTTGATATGACACTCTTCAATAAAGAAAGTTACTTTGAAAGAGATTAAGATAAATATGACTTTAGGCATTGTTACATTGGAGGTTAAACCCTCAAATCAGTCCTGTTCTGAAGTTCAGCCCTGCAGCCAGCTTATCGCTGGCTCCCAAACAAGAGCCTAAAAGCCATGGGTCGAACAGAAATCTCATGAGAGCAGGCTTAACTAGAATTTAGATAAACCCTTAAGGACACATGACATGTGTGACATGTCGTGATTCCCTTTTATTCCAAAAGTTTGGTCCTTAAGGGGTTAATGAAGGTCTGTGAAACAAGTTAGTCAAGGTCCAGTGTAACAGAAGAACTCTTCGTTAATTGAAGAGACGGATCCCCAAGACCATTGGGTGTTTAACGTCTATTCCACAACCTTCTGTGCAGGGAGATAAGTGTTTAACAGTGGAGGATCTGAGGAGTTCTGTATGGATGGACTATACAGATTAGGTGCTACACACCCTAGCTGGATCCGCTGAGTTAGACAATTCAACGGATGCAGATAACTCCGCTTTTTGGAACAATTTCACAGCAAGAGCTGTACATAACCTCCCGCTTAGCCAGGTTTATTCACTATAAAGCTATATTATGCAAAGAAAAAAAACAAACAAACACACGTTTGGATGTTGGAAGGAGTACAGACCCCTCATGTTGGGGGGCCTAACATTGAAGAATAGTTGCATGTCTTGTTAAAACCCTCAATTTCATGTAGAATCAATGACCTGTTCAAATTAGATATGTCCAAAAAAGGGATCACATGCCAGTTAGTAAAGTAGGTTAACCACGTAAGAATTGTCAAAGTAGCAGTCACATGTTACCAGTATTCCACTGCTCATTTTAATTAGAATCCTGTTGTCTGAAGATTCTGGAATGTTATGTAATCAACCCTTTTATTAGGGCTGGTTCAATCTAAAGGAGATTCAGTGATTTTTTTAAAATAAGTTATGACATCCATGACAATCAGTACATACACTGAGTGAGCTCTGTATGCTCTACTCTTTAGATCTGGGTTAAAGGAGTAAGTTGTACCTTTTCCCCAACCTACAGGAAAAGTCTTGCTGGAGTTGCAGTTGTGAAATCATGGGGAGTTCTTAACATGGAAGGAATCACAATGGTGAGGAGCAGCTGCATGTTATACACAAGTGAGTCTTACCATGCAAGATGTGAGAAGTGAGAGTCCACAGAGGCAGCAATGACTTCGCAGTTGATCTTGCGGAATTCCTCGACGTGATCACTGAACGCAATGATCTCCGTGGGGCAGACGAATGTGAAGTCCAAGGGGTAAAAGAACAAAACCAGGTATTTTCCTGCCAATACAGCAAACACAAGTTAAACCATATAGTCATCAGTAACGAATGACTCAAAGGATCCATTTACTTCACTGACTAGTCTACTGAAAGCCAGGTTTTTAAGTTGGGGGTTGGGTGCCTGCGGCATTAAGAATAAACTAGTAGTTTCTTTGAGCCAACATGTAGTAAGGCAGCCTCTGCCGACAAGAATTGCAGTAATAAACAGAGTGCAAGGTTAAAGCCACTGCATCAGACACAGCAAGTGGCAGGTTAGACCTGCTTCAACCTGGATGAAATGTGACACCCTGTTTAAATATTGTAAAACATATATACAGCCAGTGGCTGGCAATAGGCGTCAGAATGTGTAGGGTTATCTTACATGGACAGCACTGAGCAAGCAGAGACCCAGTTTATGTGAATACATTATTCATGCCTTCTACAAGGGCTGAGTCAATAACTTCATGGTTATCAGGAAGGCAGAAGACACGAGGCTGTATGACTTGCCATTATATGCAATATCTATAACAAGTAGTGTGACACTTAAACAGGAACACTGGCATTAAGAATGCAAACATGCAATGCTGACGCTAGACTGTTATACTAACCATTTAGAACGTCGGACCACCTTAAGTAAAAATTGTATGGTCTATTTCAGTGGGAGCATATCAACTATAATCTCATTGAATGAGACGTGGGGGAGGGAAAAAAAAAAAATTAAAAAACAAAAAACAAAATCAGCATCTCAATGCTCAGCATGGAGACACTTAATTTTGCAGGAGTGCAACCAGGAAGCCCCTCGTGGCCATCTGAGTGAAAGGCATTAGAGGGAGAGACGTGAAAAGTCAGTGCAGCCTGCAGGGACTGATTTTGCCTCCAAATCCTTTAGATTAAGCTGTAGTGTTTTGGGTCCCTTGAGTGTCTCCTTAACCAGTACAATGGTAATAGGAACTGGGCCCCAGCACTGTAGGTATATCTAATGAAACCTGAATAGGCGGTCATGGTACAAGCAGGCATATCACCTTCATGGTGTTTGCAAGATATGCAATATTTACCATTACATGTTAAGATGTTATCTTTAAATTAGAATACAATAGATATGGCACTTTCACCATATATCTTCTGCAAACCCTCAATGCATTGCTAGCCTCCATTATAGGTATTTATTCACATTAGCCCCTTTGTGTTGCACAAGACAAAGAATATTAAGCAAACTTTACCTTTGTAGTCTGACAGTTTAACTTCTTTAAATTCTCCATGGACCACCGCTGTAGTCTTGAAATCCGGAGCTGGTTTTCCAATATGAGCCTTTCCTGCTGCCATTATGCCTAAAAAATAAAAAAAGTTATATAATTAGCAAAGTGTAAAGCCATCTCTCGCATGAGTGCCTGTCACAGACTGCAGCCTTGGTTATGCAATTACACTGTAGCATTGTGAAATGATACACTAATCCCATTGTGGATACCCACAGTAACCTTGCACAATATTTAGAATAATATGAGATTTACAAATCCAGGATACCTCAATTCACAAAACACACACAGTGTATGTATTGATCTGATAGTGACTTTAAATTAAATAATAAAATAATAATAATGACTTATTCCCAGTCACTCAGTGTTAGACATTAAAATAAACCAGGCAGCACGTGGCTGACATTAAACAGAACATTAATAGCCTAACACATGAACTTGACCCCTGACCTCCCATCTAAAGACCCTCACCTTCACTTCCGTGTCTGAGCACGCACTGAGCTATAAGCCCGCCAGCAGACCCTTATATACCCCGGACCGTACCATTCATTTTCTATCCGGGGAGGGGGAGGACATCCTGCTGCAGCCAGTCCACCCCCATCCACAGTGCTAGATTAGCTCGCTCTATATTGAATGTATATAATAAATATTACAGTAAATATTATATAGTATATCACAGGGAAGGGAAGCATTGAGGAATTAGTAGATTGTTTTAAATAATAATATCTGCACCTGCAGCTTATAATGAAGATTATTCACATGCAGGAAGCCATTTCTACCTATCTACTGCAATATGATGACTATTTTATGTACTTATACATGGGTTAAAAATCAATAAATATTAGTGCATTAATTATATCATGCAATAAATTGGGTTACAGCAGTAACATAATATGCTCATTCCAAGGGTCAGTTATAATCTGCATTACTGAAGAAAAAAATATATCATTACTGAGGATAATTACTATACTCTGCATGACTGCAAAAATAAATTATAAATGATATCACTGAGGATCATTACTATACTCTGCATTACTGCAGAAATAAATTATAAATTATATCACTGAGGATCATTACTATACTCTGCATTACTGCAGAAATAAATTATAAATTATATCACTGAAGATCATTACTATACCCTGCATTACTGCAGAAATAAATTATAAATTATATCACTGAGGATCATTACTATACCCTGCATTACTGCAGAAATAAATTATCATAAATTATATTACTGAGCATAATTACTGTATCCTGCATTACTGCAGAAATAAATTATCATAAATTATAATTCTGAGGATCATTACTATACCCTGCGTTGCGGCAGAAATTAATTATCATAAATTATAGTACTGAGGATAATTACTCTACCCTGTATTACTGCAGAAATAAATGATCATACTACAGAACTATACTATACTACATAACTATATCACTATAGTATAACAAAACACAAAAGGAGTTAATAGCATATACTTATCAATAAAACAGAGAACAGCTTTCCACCGAACATCTCCCAAGCAGTTTTATGTCTAAACAAGCCGATTAATATAATACACGTGGGATACTGCTGTTGAACCTAAAATGTAATAAAACAGAACATAGCGTAATACAGTTGATAAATATATAATAATCCCTGCTAAAGATTGCACTCACAGGATTTGAAGTTAAATGCGCTCTAATGGTGCCTCCCCTGATGTTTGGGGGGCTAGTATCTCACCTGATCCTGAGAGGGAGATACTAGCCCCCCAAACATCAGTGGAGGCTGTCTTACGCTATGTCCTGTTTTATTACATTTTAGGTTCAATAACTATATTACTTTAAGAGGATAAGAAAATCATTATACCCTGCATTACTGAATGGAAGAGAAGTTATTAAACCATGCCTTATCCTGTAATAAGGATATTATACTCATTCAATCGGCACATTATTATCATAAGTAAATTATCAGACCTTACATCTGGTTAAACAAATTACTATTTTATGACCGCACATATAAAGAAGTAAATTATCATGTCTAAAATGTTTGCTTATTATAACTAAGTTATTACACCTCCCATTGTGAATAAGCATATCTCCATATCAGACTTTGAATGTGTTTTATATTCCTTTACCTTTTATATGCTCATATTATCATATAAACCCCCACTCCTGTCTCCAGTCATGTCTCAGAAAGCCTCATACTTTGTCTGGATGCCTCCTAGATAGGTTGTTTGATTAAACGTATTTAAATGTATTGTGGAATTTTTGGACATATTCATACTATTCTGAGTTGTGTACCAGACCCGACTATATTTCTGACTTGGAATTGCTGCTGTTTCCAATTACCAGACCCAGCCCTGCCCTTGACTTTGACTATTAAATTTGTTCATAGAAAGAGATCCCACAGGGCCCTAGGATGGTTAATGAGTCCTGGTTCATAGTCCTGTTGCGCCTGTCTTACCCTTGACTCTAGGCAGCCGCATAGCGTAATCTTATGGTTAAGATCTGTCAGGGCCAACCTCCAAACACTATTGGCTACTCGTACAAATACTGCTACTCCTGCTAGTTAACTTTCTCCTCCTGTGATCCCACAAGCCGTCATTCCTGTGGGACCCTATGGGCCTATAATACACCTCTCATTGAATGCCCCCTGTGCAGGTAAGTAGTATTTCTGACATGTCTTGATGTGTGAGCTTCACATATCCTGACAATTAGACATGTGCAATTTGTTTCGTTCCGAATGTACATTCAGACGAATTTCGTGCAATTCGAACATTCGAATGCTTACGAATGTCCGAAGTTTGAATTGCCGAGTTTCCAAAGTCCCAAATTTTCGAAGTGCCGAACCGAATTGCAGAAATTCCGAATTGCAGAAGTTCCGAATTGCCAAAGTGCTTTGGATTTTTGAAAAGTGCCAAAACAAGTGTTTAGGGTTAGGGACAAAACAAGTGGTTAGGGTTAGGGGTTAAATTTAGGGTTAGAGTTAGGGTCTGAATTACCGAAGTTCCAAAGTGCCGAATTGCCGAACCGAACCGTATGTCAATGGTCTGAATTGCCAAAGCAGACAAATTTACTTACCCGAATTTCCGAACCGAACCGCTTTTTTTTGCCCATGCACATCCCTACTGACAATAGTGATATGTGAATGTGTCATGACATATCCTCACCTATCATTTCTGAAAAATTGTTTGAAATACTAAACATGGGGCAATCACCATGGAAACCAGTGAAGCCAGTAGGAACATTCAATTATCTATAAATTCCATCTCTACTCTCCCTTTCAGAAGATCCTCCTAGGTCTAATTCCTGGAACTAGCTGGACAGAGGTCATATTTGAGACTTCTGCGTTGCCAAAAACACAGTTCCAGGACCTATTGCACATATTTACATTGCATTTTTGTGCACATGCAAGAATGCTTCAGCAGGCCGATATGCCGCCTTTTATCTGATTTATACGGTACTCTCACAAGGTGAAACCAACACTTCTGCTCACAAGCTCATAACGCCACATTTTGTTCTACTTATATCGTGTCAATGATCAGATCTCGACACCTACATCTTAAACACGAAACTCACATTTATCAATTCTTCACCATTATAGCACTTATAGCGCCCTTTGAAAAACCAATTACCTGCTTTCAACTGGATCATTTTCCTCCTTGTGCCCCACATCAGACATTAGCCCTTGAAAATGAAGGCATGTGGGTTGCCTCCAACCTGCAAAACCAGACTAAACACTTAATTTTGAACCGAAATTGCAATTACGTTTTTCACTAAAGTGCCAATACAACGTGCCAATACAATGTGCAATAATTCTGTATCTGCTAAGAAAATAACCCAACATTTTAAATTCTATACAATTTATAGGAGTTAAACACTAACCTGAATCCAAATTTGGTGTTTTCCAAGATTTCTGATGAGCTGCTTTTTGTAGTTAAATGATAGAAGGCAATGGATAAGAAATCTGCTAGATAAATATATAAAATAGGCACACCCACACCCTAACAGATAGCTCAGTGGGCTAATGCATCATCATTAAATTGGTTCAACCCCTGGGGTTCAATTCCTGGCTGGAACTCAGCCCTTCATCCTTCTGAGGTAGATACAATTAATTTGGGTAATAGTAAGAACTTCTGGATGCTGGGCAAAAGTAACATTCTCAGGACGTATTTAGAAACCAGAAGAATCTGAATGTACTTTTCCTGGTTAAATACTTTGTAATTATTATCTCACTCACAATAAGCAGTTTTTATTATTTATATAGCGCCAACAAATTCTGTAGCGCTGTACAATGGGATATAATGGCTTAATAAAAAGTGTGGATTATTAACCCTTACTGTGCCACCCATTTCAATAAGGAATAGGGGAGGCCATTCTACTCTCACACTTTCAGTCAGATTCAGGGGCCCCACATTTAATTGTACATAGGTTTTTTTCTCAACCATTATGCTTATATTAGTTGCCTGTACAATTCACTGTAGAAATTGATCTGGGAGCCATAAGAGAAAGCTCACCCATTTTATGGTCCATGGAGGTTCATCAGGCCATCAGGTTCATTTCCAGGCGTGTTTGCAAAATTCACAGGATAATACATCTATTAGTGAACTGTTTCTCTCTGATTTATTGCACCTAGTTTTTACTCGATGCCTGTTCAATTCACAATTTCCAACCGCAAATACAACTTTGCCCACAGTACCTACCAGTGTGCATTATTGAGATTTCAAGAAGTTAATTATATAGAAATGTATCTTCCTTTTAATAATAATCCTGATCTTCCTTTTAATGGTACCTTGAATATTACGACTTGGAGAGCGCCCTCTGCTGGGGACTTGCTTGCAGACCATGAAAAGGCCCATCTTCTGATGCCTTATTCACAAGAAGGTGCAAAGCACATCCTCGGTTTGGAGTGTCACAGACACATAGGTCTAATTGTAGTGTTTGCTTGCTTGATAGCTGTGCCATACTATTGAAAATAAACATTGTATCAAGGCACGATATCTCCTGTATTGCCTACTAGTAGACATTATTGTTTTTTAGGATATGCTTTTTATAATTCTTACCACTAAATGTACAGCTTGCCTTCTGGAATCAACAAACGGACATTGTTTACAATTACCTTAATTTATATAGTGCCAACATATTCTGCAGCGCTGTACAATAGGAAACTACAAATATGTAATTATTTCCCCTAACATACTTACAATCTAAATGTTGATAAAATGCTCCATATGGGCATCTTTCAGTCTCGATAAAGTCTTTACTGTGTCTGTTGCTCAGCAGTAGAGCTACGTGGTTAAATGTTTGCACATTGGACTCCGATGGAAAGGATAAGTTAAACAAGATGGAACCCAAATTTAGAGATAGAATAGCACAAGGACATCCAGCATCAGTAAGGCAACCAAAAGACCAGTGGCGTACACACAATCAATGGGGTCCCGTTGCGAAACTGATCCGTGGGCCCCCCCCGACACACACACAAACACACACAGACAGACACACACATACATAAACACAGACAGACACATACATCCCCCCGACAGACACATACATACACACATACGGACACACACATACACACAGACACATACATACACATACATACAGATACACACAG